TTGATGGACACACCGGCACTTCAGGATTACCTCTTGTGAGCTGCTGTAACAGCAGAGTTAGCTACTACAAACACGGTTGTCTTAGTTACTTTTCTCTGTGCTGAGACAAAATACTCGACACCCAAAGTTGAAGGAGGAAAGGTTTATTTAGGTCACAATCTGTAGAGCTTTCAGTCCATCATCAGCTGGCTCCAAGGCGGGGTGGCACATGACAGAGGGGCAACCATTCATGGTGGGGAAGACAGTGAAAACAAGGAGAGAGGTGGGGCCACCGCAGGACCACAGGGCTTTGTGGAAGCCTGGTGCTGGGGAACTGAGGCTACCATGGTTCAGCTACTGAGCTCTGGAATGAAAAGACCCGGAATCCAGTGTTAGTTCTGCTCCTTACTACTACTGCTGGGGTGGGGGAGATAGCTCAGTAGAATAAGCACTTGCCTGGCAAGCACAAGGGCCTGAGTTCAATCCCCAGCTCTGCCAAAAAAAAAAAAAAAAAAAAAAAAAAAAAAAAAAGAGCGAAAACTACTACTACTGCTGTGTGTGTGTGACAGTCTTTTTTATAATTTGTTTTATTTTATTCTGAAGAGTAAAAGCAGAAGCGAAAACAAAAAGAAAAAAAGACAAACAGGGCAACACACAACAATGCATGTTGCAGATTTTCAAAGCAGGAATAGCTTATTAACACTGGTTGTTATATTGTCTATCTTTATCATCAAAGTTGTTGCTCAGATTAACAGACATACAAGATTGGGGAAATAGTTGAATACTGGCACGTGCTTTCAAGAAATCTTGATATTTTTCATTGTCTTTTTTTAGTTTTAATTTATTTTAAAGAATGTCTACTAATTGATAAGACATTAGGAACATTTAGAAGACCGAGATGAGAGGCTCTCAGCCATGGGTTGTGTATTACACATTGCTGTCCTTGGTGTAGTTGCTCAGATCGCAGATGTCAGCAGAGTTAGCCAAGGTGAAAATTCTAAACATTAACTGCTATTTTGAAAAACACTGAGGGAAACTGTACTATCATCTCAGGTGTCCTTGACACAGAGCCCTGCTAGCATCCTGAGTGAGCACCACCACGCCCAGCTAGAAGAACCTACTACAGAAGGAAGAAAGTACCCTGTTTTATGAAAAGATGGTAGCAGCAAACACATGCCAAAAAGAGAGAAATCCTCCATTTCCTATAAAATTTTTTCCCCTCCTCTTTGTTCCTAAGAAAACATGTTTTAATGAATGGTATGATAATATCATAATGTTCACAAGCTAACTTACAAATCAGCACACCCCCAAGGGCATAGCATTTACTGCATCTAACATGATGTCACTTAATTCTTTTAAAAAGTTTTCTTTGAGTTGCTTAACTGTAAGTTTTTATTTTATTTTATTTTATTTTTTATTTTTGGTGGAACTGGGGTTGAACAACTGTAACTTTTTATTTTATTTTATTTATTTATTTTAATAATTTTATTGAGGAACAACTATCAGAGACAGTTTCACAACCGATTACTAGCACATTTTCAGTAATTAATACATTGCATATTGTTGTCTTAGTGGTTATTCATTATACAAGATGCAGACAAGATATCCCGTCTCAAACACTATTAGAACAAACCTCTCTATTCATTGAATTAAGAGAGTGGAGCTGTATATCTCTCCTAACTATTTTAAGTATACAGATACAAAAGGGTCATTCATTTCTTTTTCTTTTTTTTTAACTTTTTTTTAATGGATTGCAAATTGAAAATAGTTTACAAACATAAGTGAATATAACAATAAAAACTGTCCAAAATAAAAATGAAGAAAGAATTTACAGATCAGTCATAATAGCTCACTATGTCAAAACCAAGAAACTTTTATTCATATAATTAGAATTCTCAAAGTAGAAAGGAGTAGGCAATAAATATTTAAAGATTTAAAATTTCTGAATTTAGTTCAAGTTACAATACCACATTTCCAAGAAAAATGAACCTTTTGCAAAGACATTTAAATAAAATCATACCAAGATACACAAAAGTGAAATTGTCCAAAACTTCTTGTAAAGAAAAAAATCATTAAAGCATATACATAAAAATATTAGCTATGGAAGAACAAAATTAAATAGCATCTGATTCCACATTAGAAAGAAAAAAAAAAGGACCAAGTGTGTCCTTTTTTGGTAGTGAAGTAACTGTGGTCAAAAGCTGACATATAGGCTGCAGGTGATGTTCACACCTATAACCCCAGCACTCTGGAAGCGGACCCACGAGGATCCATTTGAGTTTGAGGCCAGTCGGAACTGCACAGTAAGACCCTGTCTCAAAAAACACAACACAACAAAACAAAAATCCAAACCAAACCAGAAAAGTGACACACAAGTAAAAAGGTAAAATTTAAGATGTGAGCCAGAACAGATCCACAGCTCAGTACAGAGTAAAGCCTGACCGGATGATTCTCAAGATGTGTAATGGAAGCCAGCCGTGCTCAGTGCAGAAAGCCAAGAAACAAAAGCTGATAAAAGTCCTTCCAAATATGGAATGTAAAAGAATTTAAACAATTTAAGTGAATTGAGCTAATTTTGTAGAAATACTGTATATCAGCAGATTGTACAACCAAACCTCCTATTTAGCTAGTTTTGACACTTGGCTTTTTTTTGGAAGGGGGTGGTTGTGATTTTATTCTGAGCTCAGAATCAAGTTTTTCTCTATTCTTATCTAGGCCTAATACATGAAATTTCAGCTAGCATACCTGTGAAACATAGTATTTGCTTTTTAAGTATTAACTAAATTAGTGCACAAAAAGTGTACAATTTCATGCTGTTTATTTGTTTGAGACAAGTTCCCACTAGTAGTCCAGATTGGTCTTGAACACACGACGTAGCTGAGGCTGGTGATCCTTCTGCCTCAGCCTCCCAAATTCTGGGATCACAGGTGTACACCACCACACCTGGCAAACTTCCACTCTTATAAGTCGTGTGATGAGCAGCCTACTCTGAGAGATCAAAGATTTCTTCTGAGAATAAGGTATTGTGAGATTTGAGGAACTGCAGTCAGTAGGCCGAGGCAGGAGAATCACAGTGAGTTGGAGGCCAGGCTACCTAGCAAGACCCTGTCTCAAAAACCCAAAAGAGCTCCCGTGTCTACAGCGCGACTGCTGTGGTGCCCAGGGTGCAGTGTGTCCCAGGAGCTAATTTCAGCAGGAAATCGCTCTTCCAAACTGTAAAACTTAAAGCCATTTATTCCTTATTGTCTTAGCTTGATAAAGTTTGAAATCTTCAGCTCATACTCTGCTGGAACAGAAATACCCCTAAATATCCTATCTTCAGAACAACGTCCCAGCAGTAAGTTAGGTCAGATCAACTCTGTTTGGGCAGCAAGGAGGGTTGGTTTGTTCCAAGGTCAGCTCCTGGGAAAGCTGCTCGGGCCGCAGGTGAGTGGAAATCGGTGACACAGAGCAGCTGCCTTTTTCCTACAAGTTGGCTACTGTTCACTGAGGAACAATGGAAAGTTTTCTGGGTAAGGATATGAGTTTCCAAGAAGGTTTCAAGGGCCCCGTTATGCGTCCCCCGTCCCCCGTGACTTCGGCCTTCTGTCGCTGCCCATCAGGGTGAGCCCTGCGCCATGCCCCAGCCGCCTAATCTGGAAGACAGCCTGCCTGTGATTGAAGAGCCCCAGCTGACGTCCTGACCTGCGCCGGCTTCTTTGCCCTCGGGACAAAGGGCTGGAGGTCAGGGGCGCGGACGCCGGCCTCTGTCTACCTGTCCTTCTAACCTCTGACCCGAGGGCCGCACTCCTCGCCGGGAACACGCCGTGCGGACCCAGGAGCGCGCCACGCCGGGCCATCTGTCCCTGGGGCGTCAGAGAGACGCCCAGGCAACGCCCCCGCCACCAGCCAATGGGGAGCGCGCACGGCGCCGGGGCCGGCTCTCATTGGTCCGCGCCGGCCGGCTTCCCAGAGGCGGCTTCTAAAGTCGGAGGGCAGGAGCGGGCGTCTCACTGGGCGCGCGGCAAGGCTCCCGCGGGCTTCGCGTAGCGACTCCTGACAGCTCGGTTTCCTCGTTAGGTCTTTGTCGCCTTTTCCCTTTCTTCTTTTACAGTTCATCATGCAGAAAAAGGAGACCTCTGCTCCAGGGTTCTCGCCTCGCTTCCAGCATTTCGCCACTCAGGCCATCCACACGGGCCAGGAGCCAGAGCAGTGGAACTCCTGGGACGTGGTGCCGCCCATCTCCTTGTCCACCACCTTCAAGCAACGGGCGCCCGGCCAGCCCGTGGTGAGCCGGGCTGGGTGGGGGCCAGGCGGCGCGCACGGCTCGGGGCACCCCGCAGCCAGTCGGGGTCAGCTCAGCCGGTGTCACCTGGGGAGCAGGTTTGCAAGGGGCGGCTGGTCCAGCTTGCTGCAAAGATTCTCACTGCAATTCATGTGACTTTTGGCAAGCTGAATTCGAACGCGAGAGCCAGAACTCTGTGCTACCTTTAGTAGCAAAAAAAAAAAAAAAAAAAAAAAAAAAAAAATCAAATATGTCTTAAGAGGTCAGCTTAAAAAGAATAAAGGGTCCGATAGTTCACCTAGAACCAAAATAATTCCCCAGCAGCTATATAAAATGTCCTTGTATATAAATTATGTATGTATATAAAGTGTATTACATGTGACTCATTTAATCCTAACTACCCTAGTCTGGACTAAATTCTCATTTTTCTGATGAAACAGCTGAGATTTAGGGATGGTGAACAGCCAGCCTGAGACTCCTAAGCGCAGGCGCTGAGCGACGTCGTGGTGTATGCCAGCAACTGCGTAGCGCATTGCATCAGGAAGCAGTGCGGCTTCTCCAGCCTGGGGTAAAGGCCGCAGGTCTGCTCCTGACGTCAGCTCTTCTGAGCTGGTGCCCTGAGAAGCTACCCCTTTAGTCAGACGTTATTACTATATAAATGAGGACGCCAGTACCTACCTCCGAGGTTCTTGGTATTTGTAAAACTACAATGTATGTCCTAATCACTCAGTGATACATTGGCATTTTACGTTTATACTATTTCCATTTAATCTTCATAATAGCCAGTGCAGAGGGGAGCGCAGGCATAAGGAACTTTTTATAGTCAACGGACCTGTACTCATAAATGACTCACAAAGCTCATGAGAAAACACTATTTATTCATTTCATAGCTTTTGTTCTTTTTAAGGGCAAACCAGATGGTATTGGAGTATGTAAAAGTTGCTGAGATTTGGAAGAAATTAGCTAAACAAACTTTAAAAGCCCAGAGCCCTGATCCATCTTTGAAAACCACTTTACGGTGTTAAATGTTTTGTGAGGTGGGGTTTTTGGGGCTTTGCTATAGCTGCCTCCCCATGCCTTTGCTACCGTGTTTCGAAATCAGAATGCGTGTACGATGCCTCTTCCAGGCATACAGCTTGTCTTGTGCAGGTTTACTGATTGTGCAGCTGTCCAAGCTTTGGAATTTAGCACAGAAATTAATCATCCTGGTACAGTAGTAACGGCACAGTATGTTTAGAAAGTGAGCAGAGATGGTTAACTCTACAAGCCGCTGTTCCTGGCCTTTAGAAAAATCAGTTAGGGGCACTACAGGCAATTTGAAGGGCTGCCTGAGAAGCATCTAATTCTTTATTTCTACTGGAAAAGCCGTTGGATAGATGAGGTAGTTTGCTACTGAAACATGCCCTGACCCCAACGTAAATATCCGCGGCGAAAATTCATTGAAGGGTAGAGGCCCCTTCTGTGGCGTTAGCTATGTGAATTGCAGTGTTTAATTCCTCTCTGTTCAGCGCAGCTGCCAGTGACAGTGAGGAGTGCCTGAGTGGGGACCGTATCCAGGTTCCCCACAACATAATCATGCCCAATCAGTTTGTCAGGAACAAGGAGACAACACAACAAATCTTCTGCAATTATTACCAATAATGGGAGTGCCTGAGTCAGCAACACAGTTGTCAGGAGTGGTTGTTTTGTTATGGGCTTTATGATCCAGGAGAGAAAATCACCCATCTTTTCACCCGGGTTAGGGTCCTGGGCTTTCACGCTGGTTCTCTGGGTCCTATGGCACTGGGTTTCACAGTCCTCAAAGCCTAGGAGGATTAAATAAATGAATAGATAAATATGGACATGGGTATACCATATGTGTAAAAGGAGTATAATGCACATTTTAAAGTATTTGCCAAGAATTACTCTTATTTTTTGATCCAGCGCAACGAGCCAAGATCAAAACTTCGAATGCCTGCAGGCTCTGAGCTAGTGTCTTCTCGTATGGCTAATAGAACTTGCATCCCTTACTTCTTAGGGCAGGAAATACAGAATGGGGGTTACTCGTGGCTCAGTAAATTTCCTCTGCAGCCCCTAGGCTGGACTTGCTCACACTTCTAAGTCAGGACGTAAAAAAATAGACAGAAGGTCTATTTCTAAGTCACAGCAAGTCCTTACGGTAGGATGAACTCATAGCTGCTGAGATATCTCTGTGAGGACACTGGTAATGAATGTGAAGCTCTTCAAGTGAACTCTTGTCTTTTATTTCTTCTTCAGGACTTTGTGTATGGTCGCTCTGGAAACCCCACTCGGAACTGCCTGGAAAAAGTAGTGGCGATGCTGGA